AGAATGTGAAACGAAATAGGATATAAAAAGTTAGTAGTCGCTCATTAGTCCAATGTACTACGTAGTATGTAATTGTTTTTCTTTCAAGTCAAGGGATGGTGTCGGGCGGCGTTTTCTTTATTTGTTTGCATTTTCTTATTCGGTTTTTGGGTGAGGGAATGTAATCAGTAATTTTTTATTGGCTTAGTTGGTTTTTCCAATGATTTAGGAAACCAAAAGGCCTTTTTCTCATCTACCATATACTCCTTTTGTCCAAAATAAAAAAAATTAAATAAAATTATAGTCTATTGACTTTTCAAATTGATACTATTTGTTGGGATATTGGGATTTGGGAGTATCAAAATAATACAAGTTTCACATACAATATACGGCGTACCAATCAATAAATATTTGATATTTATTTACTCCCTCTTATCCAAAAATATAATCAAGATTGAGTTTTGAGATTTGTTATACAAATCTCAAAATTTAATTTGAATTATTTTTCTTGGATAACAAGAGTAAATTTTGTATCGGAAAATGAGTTTTGAGATAGTGAAACATAATAGTGACTTATGTGACTAATGTATGAATACATAATCACTCCATATTTTGGTAATCATTGAGAAAATAGTATAATTAATATAGAGGGTTTTTTTTTTTTTTGTATTTTCACTAGTTAATATTCCGTTTCACTGTAGATTATCAATATGTTTATCTTGCTCCAGTATATCCAAGTTGACCAGCAAGGTATTTATATATTGCTTTGGCTTATTTTCTGCATAACTCATTTACTAAACTTCAAGCAATTGTGGGAGAGGCTTAAAGTCCTCTTGACATCAATAATACTATATACTTCCTGCTTAATGATATATTTTGTTGGACTATTAGTTGATTTAAAGTAAAGTATATCAAAATAAATGGAGGAAGAAAGAAGAAAATACAAACTCCTGCTCTTCCAAAATCTGAAGAAAAGAAGAGGGGGAGAGAAATTAATATGAAGTTGCAAGATCTTCTAATTTAGTTTCTCATTGAAATCTAAATAGGAAATGCGGGGTGAGATCGAATAAAGTAAACGATTTTGATGTGGAAAATTAAGTTGTGAATTATTTTTCTTCATTTGCACCATATCCATTTTCAAGAAGTTCGATCTGAAAGTCTTCTAAAACTCTCCAACGGTCTTACTTTTCTCTATCTATTTATAAAAAGGTCCTAACATTGTTTTCTTCACTAAAGATTACAATTACCGCTGAAACCGTGGCGGAGCTACAAATACACTTGGTGGGGCAATTGTCTCAGCTGATTTTTTTTTTTTTTTTTTTTTTTTGGTTTTTACCACTTGAACTTTTAGGTTTTTTTCTTAAGAAAAATAAATTTTGTCCCACCTAAATTAACAATACTAAGGAGCAAATATATTGAATTTGTAATATTAAAAATCTTGCCCCATCACTCTTTCAGCGTCTAGCTCCGCCACTATATATTTCAAACTTTCAATAGTAGAATAGACACCGAGTATATATTATATTGGTAAACTAATTAAGGAGGAATCTATGGCCTCTAATTAAACACCGTTTTCCCCATTCTTATGGTTCGAATATGGATTGAAATTTTGAACTTAAGAACAAAAGATGGCAAGGTTACTTAAGCATGATACTATTATAGTCGATCATTATACTGTACTAGGTAACCTTGCAAGTCGATCGTTTACTTTTCCCCATTCTTAACGATTTTCATATATCTGGATTCTGAAGTCCAAAGTAGGCCCATAATTGTAGTCCGTCGTAGGAGGGGCTCTTCTCATGAAGCTGTGAACAAAAATGAAAAAAACTACGATTTATATGGGCTAGTCTAGTGTTGGACTGTTCGTCACTGATTTTGGAGATTTTTGAATTCGGGCCTTTTATTTTTCTTACATTTTCCAACACCAACTGGTGGTAATAATAATAATTGATGTTAACGACCAACTAACTTAAAGAGCTAATATAAGCAACGCAACTACTCAAGTTAATGTCATATGTATATCATCAAATCGAACCTATCGCATTTGCCCACCAATCTTTAACGTACTCGCTCCATTCCAAAATAAGTGTCGTTTGAGCAAAATGGAGAAATTTTAAAATAAGTATCGTTTTCGGATTTCAATGCATTTTTTGTCAAAAATTTCCAAACATACTTTCAAAAGAAATAATATTATTGGTGAATATTTATTTTAATTAGGTTAGTTGAGGATATTCAAGTAATTTAACTTTCCTATTTAAGTGTTTTTTAAACTGTGTGCAAACTCGATAATGACACTTATTTTGGAATGGAGGGAGTACAATTATAATCTTTGATTTGTCGACACATTAAGAAGTCCACTTAATGTCCCGTGCATGTGACGACCTAGTCCAATCCATTTGTTACAAATGTTTTGTACTCTTTTTTTCTCTTTCTTTCCTTTTCATTTCCTCATATGGTACGGATATCAACATTAATGATTAATATATCTCCGTTGAATTATGAACATTTTGATCCTTGTGATAATTGATGAAAAAGAAAGAGGTTGCTTTATGTTAAAGATAGTGTTCGAACACTCGATTGATTGAAGGAAATTATATACCGAAAAAGGATACAAAAGATTCGATGAGTAATTACCAAAAAATTCGAGATATTGTTTACCAGAAGGATTCGAGCACTCGGTCTAGTCTTTCTTTTTTATTGTGGCAAATTGACGTCTGAAAATCTTATGTCCGGGTAAATTGGCTTGCTTATACTGAGAATAGTACATGTACTAAAATATCGGGTAACTTGCATATATAATTTTCTTTTAAGACGCTACAATTTGATCTTTAAGAAGTAGACTTTCTTTTTTTTAAAGAAAAAAAAAATTCACCTCAGTGTACCCCATTTAAACGTAGGTAAAATCCTTCTTACAACTTCTGGTGGGAGTCGAATCATGGTATATTATCAGAAAAGACGGCAACCTAACCAATAGACTATCATTCAATTCCCTAAGAAGTAGACTTTCTTGCAAAACGTTCAGATAGAATATGTAGCCACTATTTCTTTTCCCTTTTATTAGAAAACTAATTGTCACTACTTAAATAGGAACTTCAAAGTTTCTGAACTTCTGCGTGAATTTCAGAGATTATGAACTGTAATTTTTCCAATTAAAAAAAAAAACTTATTAGAATCATTGGTTACCCAAATTCATCGTAATTATTATGCGCTCGTTGCTTTTTTTAATTTTTTTTTTATCTACACTATGTTAATAATAAAAATTAAGTGACTATAAGGAATTATATGTTCACTCTGATTTTTAAATTGAGAAGCTCCCTTTTTATTAAATAAGAATAAACAAAATCAATTACGTTTGCATTATTAAAATGAAAATGTTACGTAGGAAAATATCTCTGTTGTGTCTGATTTCAAGTTTATACTGTTAAATTAATAGTATTGAGATTACTAAAATTTATTAATTTTGAGAATTAATAATAATTTAATAATTTCTTCAAGGGAAAAAAAATCCTTACTAACTTGCCTGATTTTTCATTATCTTTACCATCCGAATCAAGTAAGTATTGAAACTTTTGTCAATACTAAAAACCATTTACAGTTTATAAGCATCAATAATTCATATTTTACTAAATATTTATGATAATAATAATTTTTTTCTTAAATTTAGATTAAGTATAATTTGTAGTACTGTCGGGACAAATAGATACATCTTAAAATTTTAAAAATATTATTATTCTATTATTTTATTGATTGCTTATTTTTTTGGACGGATCCCAAGTTGGAACATTAGAAAATTATTAATTATTGAAAGTTATTAATTTATAAGTTACTAATTTAGCAACGCTTTAATTACTATACTTCTAGCTTAAACTATTATTCGCAGTACACGGTTAATCAATGGCTAACACTAATCGCTAATATTCCTTATCAAGTGATATACAACTTGGTCAATTTGGGATGCACAACTAGGTCAATTTGTGTAGTTACATTTTCACGAAACCATATTGGTAAGATGGCCACTCTGATACTCAAATGCCAGGTCAAATAAGGTAAAAAGAAATAAAGATCATAGTTTAAGCTAATAGAACACTACGTACGTCATTTGATTTTCTTATTCAGCAGCACTATCTGTTGTTACGCTCTAACAAAATCATAGCATAAAGTGGAGTGTGCTCGTTACGCCAAATGCTGGATTAAGGTCAAGATTATAAGAAATTAATATATAAGTGTTGCAAGTGATTAAATTTGTATCGTCAGGTTATTATCAAATCAATATTAGTAATGGCTGCAAGCTAGCAAAATGCACTAGGATTAATGACGTATGAACCTTTTTCCACTTGCTAAGAGCCAATTCCACACTCAATTAATGTCAGTTGGAATGATACAAGGAAAATTTAATCACACTCAAGCACCTGTGAAAACAACTGCAGTAAATTAAATATTATGGGGATCATCTTATGACTGAGTACTTCTGGTCAGTTGCATCGCAAAGAAACAATCACCCAAAAGACTTAGTCCAAAAGGACGATCTAGCTGTTTGCAGAAACCGTGGTCGAATTCCAATTTATGCAGGTATATATGTGTAAGAAGTAAACACTATTATATATATATATATATATATATATATATATATATAGTGGAATATTCACTTTTGACAATAATCATTGATTTCTTGTACATGGCCAGTTGCGAAAAAAATGAGATTGTTTTATACTCAAAATTAGTATTCAAACACCGGACTTCAATTAATTCAATAATATGATTTCTTTCTATTTAATCACAAGAGTACGTTTTGTTTGGGTAGTTTCCATGCTTTGCATACATAACACCTGTAGAGAAATATAGATTCACTAATTGATGAACCAAAATAGATAGCATTAATCAATTAATGCATGCCAACACAGTGGAAAACAATTACTCTGAAGCTGGCAAGTTGGCTGTGTTGAATTCTAATTCATGGACCACTGGTAGAAAAATTCGAGAAAAGATAACATTATAGAGAGGAAACACAGAAAGCTTCTGTTTGTATATACCAAAAAGTTCCAGAAAACAGAATGTAATTACATTATGAAATATACGTTTCATTGTACAAATGGAATGAATATATAACTAATTCGGGAATTTTTTTTTTCCCCAAACAAAAAGGTTAAAAAAAAAAGAAAAAAAAAAGTGCAACACCAAACAAACAAACCAACTAAAAACCAATTTTTAAAGTTACAGAAATCAATTATGTGTGGAAGAGAATCTCCAAATAAAGTATTTCACTGGTAATTAATTGCATGCATGTACGATTCTGTAGTTGAGGCTTTTCGCTACATCCGACTCGGCAACGCCGGTTCCATCCCGATTTTCTGAGCAATATTTCTAAGGTTGAACTTCTGAATCTTCCCGGTAGCCGTCTTGGGAAGCTCCTCCATAAAAACCACCGTCTTGGGCACCATATAATGCGGCAACCTGGCTCTACAAAACTCAATAATATCCTTCTCCGACGGCCTAACCACCGTCGTTTCCTTCAAGCTCACAAACGCACAGGGTGTTTCGCCCCAGAAATCATCCTGCTTCGCCACCACCGCCGCCTCATTCACCGCCGGATTCGCGTACAACACCGACTCCACCTCCACGCTACTCACATTCTCCCCGCCGCTAATAATGATGTCCTTTGACCGATCCTTAATTTCCAAGTACCCGTCCGGATGCATCACCCCGACATCGCCGGTGTAAAGCCAACCGTTTTTCATACATTTTGAGGTTCCTTCGGGGTTTTTAAGGTAACCCAACATAATACATCCGCCTTTCAGTACGATTTCACCCATCGTTGACCCGTCTTTGTTTACACCACGACCTGTTTCCGGGTCAACAACGTTGACATCGGTCAACCCAAGTGTCCTCACTCCTTGCCTTGCTTTCAACTTCGCCCGGCCACTCGCCGGAAGTAGGTTCCACTTGGGCTTCCACGCGCAAGAAACCACCACCCCGGCCACCTCCGTCAGCCCGTACCCGTGGCTGACTGTAAACCCCAACGACTCCGTCCGGAGAACCACTGTGGCTGGCGGCGGAGCTCCACCGGTCATGAAATGAACCGGGTTCTCCAACGGCTTTGCATGGGGAGAATTGGCTAACATGTTCAGCACCACCGGAGCGCCGCACATGTGGGTAACATTATGCGAAGCGATGAACTTAAAGATCACTCCGGCGTCGAATTTTCTCAGACAAACGTTGGTACCTCCGACCGCGGCCATGCCCCAAGTGTAGCTCCACCCGTTCGAATGAAACATCGGCAACGTCCATAAATAAACCGGATTCTTCGGAACCGACCAATTGGTCAGGGAATCAAAAGCAATGATGAAAAGAGATCTATGCGAGTGAACCACACCTTTAGGGGATGAAGTGGTGCCGGAAGTGTAATTCAGAGTCATTGGGTCCCATTCATTGTTTGGCCGGACCCACTGGAAGGTATCAGAAGAAGCATTTCCTTTGTTCACCAAACCCTCATAAGTATCATCACAGTCATCCACCCCAGAAGACATGGAGAAGTTTCCATCTGAATCATCTATCAAGATGAGCATCGGAGAAGTCAAGCCCTTTGGGAAGCCGGCAATGGCTTCCAACACTAAAGACTTGAGGTAACAGTCAACGAAGACGAGCTTTGACTCGCCGTGTTGGAGGATCACGGAGATGGTCCGCGCGTCCAGGCGAGTGTTGATGTTGTTCAACACCGCGCCGGACATGGGGACCGCGAACTGGAGCTCGTACATGGCTGGAGTGTTGGGAGCGATGACTGAGACGACGTCGCCCCGTTTGATCCCGAGGGATGAAATGGTCGACGCGATCTTCAGGCATCGCGAGTAGGTTTCCGACCAGGTGTAGGAGACGTTGTTGAAAACGATGGAAGTGCATTCGCCATAAACAATGGCTGCTCTTTCCAGAAACGTTAATGGGGTGAGAGGACATGAATTTGCAAGGTGTGGTTTGAATTCATCCATATCAAAAAAAAAAAAAAAAGAAAAAGAAATCGTACGATGAAAAAGGGGAAGAAAAGGTAAGAAACTGAATGAATGGTGGTATTACGTCTCTCTTAACCCTGGCCGTAGTTTTTGAAAAACTGTGTCAGGTGTTAGTGAGATTGTGAGTGGAGGATTTTATAAGAATGTAGGTCCTGATGGGATGAGCAGTACCAAAAGTAGAGAAAAAAAGAAATACTAAATGGAAAGAAAAACTGCATGCATTGAATTAATTGGGGCTTTGCAGTATTAGATGAGAGCAGATAGACGATATTAAAGAGATCCAGCTATATGTGTTAGGTCACCTTTTTTTTGGCGCAATGTTACAACGCTCATCCAATCTAGTCGGTGTTCGGACCTCCTCACACTTATATTCTCTCCATCCAATCGATCAAGACATTTCTAAGAAATTCTTTTCTCTTTTTTCTTCTTTTTGCATAAATTTTGTTATACTTCCGTGACTGGCCCTTTTTAACATTACAAGAACATTATCATTCCGTCAGGACATCTTCCCTCTGAATGGTCCATTCCAACAACCAAAGCTTGGATGGAAATTATGATTTAGTGTATCTTTTACTCGTAACATTATGGTCTTTCTCCAATGATCGTAATTTTTTTTCCCCATTTATAAGAATGAAATTTGGTATTTGAAATATAATAGTATACGTTTAAAATGTAATGTTCTCTATATTCATTCGGGGAAGAGGAATTGAATTCGTTTTAGCTAAATGTTCATTATATTGTGGTGGTTGTGCTGTTATTTATCTCTCATTGAGGTATACAGTGAAGTGCAAATTGGTAGTCCCCTTTGATGGGCTAAAGGAACTAGAGGTTGAAGTTCCCGTATATATATATATATATATATATATATATATATATATTTATTATATAGGCTTCTATAAATTCGTAAATCAAATTTTTGATTTTACAATGTCTACATTATAGGCAAAAGAAACTTGTGGCTATATGTGAAGAAGATTAACACAAGACTTGTGATTTTGTGGCAACAATTATTAGCATCCCGTATAAATTTTCTCACGCTTTCCAAAATTGCTCCTTATGAGGTCAAAAGTCTTGTCTTCTTTTTTCAAAATCAAACGCTCAATTAACCTTGCTACTTTTCTATCTCACCAAATTTCCGTGCACATAACCGATAATCATTTCCCCCTATTAATGTCACGCTCATTTTTATTTTTTTTTCTGAAATTTTCATATCAATAAAGAATCTAATTTCAACATTTCATTCTATCCATAAGTTGAGAATTGATCAAATTTCTGGAAAAAAAAAAAGAAGAAAAAAGCTTTACGTTATCAAATTGAAGCAAAGGTTTGCCTTAGTCGTCATGATCTTAACACAAGTCCACCCACCCTGTTTTTATTAGTTTCACAAAGTAAAGATGTGTTTTAATGACATTCCATGTGTGCATTTATTTCATATTCGGTGGCCGTGGCTTTCCCCGCGGCGCTTCCAGGTTATTGAAAAGTACAAGTGCATGCCTTTTCAAAAAGAAAACTGATAGTTAACAACAGTGATATAAGCCTTACTTTATTTCAAATGTTGATAAATCAACACTTGTTATCACTACAAAACATTTATGCTCACAGAAGTACTCCTAAAGAGATGATACTTAGTGAGCTAATTAAACAGACAGGTTACACTCATGAAAAGGGGGATTAGTTGATTCGTCTGCCCACATACATGCTGTATTACTATTGACGGAGGAGCAAATCGTGTATATATACACCTGATGTATTACGTGAAAGCTACAATCATACTTAATTAGGAAAATGGTGTTAATATTTCGACAAAGTTGTCGAAAATGGACGGTCTGTGGTCATTTTCCTTATCCTTGTTAGGCTGCTGCGTTGCATTTGTAATGTAGCGGCAAATACATGTTCCTCCTTAGCTAATAAGCTGGCCCAATGTTTTTTTTTCCCTTTGCAATATCCCAATATCAAATCTCCCCATTTAAGCCCAATACTCGGGAGTTGGGATATATGGCATAAACATCAATCAGCATCACGGAGGTGTCTTCAAAGTTTCCCCAATTAATTAGTAAGACTTTCAGAGCTGTCTTCATTCATAGTGCAGGATTTAGACAACTAGATTTTAGCAATATTAATTAGCTTGCTCTTGCTGACATGCCTTTCAACTGACTCGATGATATCATTACCATTTTCGAGCGACTGGGGTTATAAACATTATGTAAATTCATATGCATGTCTTAAGATTATAGAAGGCCATGGGCTTTTTAACTCAAAACTAATTGACAATAAGAGGAGTAGTTCATAAACCTATATATTGATATCAAACCTCTCCTACCACCGATGTGGGATACTCAACACTCACTTGCAAGCCCAATGCATTTTCTTAGGTTGAGCTTGTCTATGTTTCTTCAGCCCAGTCACCGCCTCACGTTTTAGCCTTACCAGTTCTCTCACATCAGGCTTGGAATCCGATTCTTGGCGGGTTAACTCTGATACTATATAGAAGCCGATGGGGTTCCACCTCAAAACCAATTGGCAATGAGAGAGTAGCTCATAGACTTATATATTGATATCAAACCTCTACTACCACCGACGTGGGATACTCAACAAATATTTGGCTCAAGCATGATGTCATTGGAATTTTATATCTCAAAATATGAATGTATGATTTTAGCCTTTGTTTTCTCCCTCGAAAAAAGGGGAAAAAAGAAAAGAAAAAGGCAAAAATAGCTTACTCTTGCTCGAAAGGGGTATTTATGAATCTCATAAATTTTTCAAGGACGCTTAGCTGTTACATTCAAGTTTAAAGAGAGTTTAGTTTTTAATATACCAAAAAAAGAGAGTTTAGTTTAAAAAATATTTACTATATTTTAAAATAAGTGTCTTTTTACAAACTAAGAAAATTTCAAAATAAGTGTTATTTTCTGATTTTAATGAATTTTTTCTTAAAAGAAATAGTATTAAGTAATGATAACCATTTGTATTAATGAGGTAGATTGAGAATATAATAACAAATTAACGATTCTATTTAAGATTTTTTTAAATTGTTTAAAAGTTTTCTAAATATATTTATTTTAAAATGGAGGGAGTAATTATTTGGCGTTTGATCTTTCGGGTACTGATCATCTTTATCATTTGAGCGGACTACTTTCTACCAATCGATGTTGGAGCAACTGGCCACATCTGAAGTCTATAATAAGTACAATTCCCTTCTGAAAATTTGCATACTTTTTTTATTTTTCTCTCGGGGGTTAATGTTGTGTACTTCTGTGATTTAAAAATATGCATTATGCTTTCAGAGTTAGCTTCTATCAACTAGCATTTCTAAAAGGATTCACATTTTAATATGATTATGTTTCACAACTTTGACCATGTATATATTGATTTCAACCTTGGCTACCCTGCCAGCAAGTTTCATGAACAAAGCTACATATATATACACGTAGTTCACGATTATAGTTTACCAAAAAAGAGAGAAAAAAAAAAAAAAAGGTCGTCTTAAAGTTCATCTAAAATACCAGATGCAACAACAAAATCATTTTTTGGTCTATTTCTAGAAGTATAAGATTGTCAAATACACACCACGATATCATGTACTCGGCTAGAAACATTAACATTTGTCTTACATATACACCACCCGTTGTATGGCGCAAAAACATGTACAAATGTTCCTCTATGTGCAACAGAAAGCACCTTTAGTTTTACTAACACAGGTTGATCCAAATCTTCACACATAATAGAAGCCCTTTTGAACATTGGTTACTTCTGACGCGGGTTTTTTTTATTTTTATTTTTTTAAAAATCAAACCAGATAAGTACCTGGAAATTTATTAATAAAGCAAAAATTTTCAGAGTAGTGCGTAAGACTTACCCCGTACAATGAGAAATGTCATATAATGACAATAATTTAAAAACTAGTAAACTATATCGAAAAAGACTAACCGGTAATACATTTGTATTTGTCAGAGAAATTTTCTCCGTCACCATTCATGAACTGCCTCATTAGTAGGCATATTTGAGAATCCCGAACAGTGAGTGCAGAGAAAATCGCCGACAGTCAACAAGCCTAACTAGCTAACCCATAATCCAATACAGCTTTTTGTAGACCAAAGTGATCGAATAGTCGATTTTGTATGAGTTTAACCGGCGAACCGGTATTTGAACTGAAGCCCAGTGAATCGGGTTTTTAGTTTTGGACTGGCGGACCAGTTTTGATATTGCGGACCGGCGAACCGGTTTCAGGAGAGGTGGCCGACAAAGCAGCTTTGGGACAGAGAGGCCGCGACCCGGCTTTGGGTGGTGGACCGATTTGAGGAACTAGAGGTCGGCGGTTTCTGAAAGCAGTAGGGGCTGCGTGTAGCAGGAGCGGCGTGCAGCAGTGGATCAAATCAGATCCATGGCATTAGATCGGCGATTTCTGGAGGCGACAATCCACGGCATCTTTCTGAGGTGGTCTCTGGCGGCAACTTAGATCAGATCGGGAATGATCTGCGACTCTCAACAGAGCTGATTGCACCGACGGCAGTTATGGACAGGGGAAATGCGTTCGAGGTGGATCTCATTTGCATTCAATCAACGAAGAGGATGCAACAGCAGGAGCGGCGTGCAGCGGCGGGGATCGGCGATGTCTGAAGATGACAATCCACGACATCTTCTTAAGTGGTCTCCGACGGCGACTTGGATCAGATCGGGAACGATCTGCGGCTCTCAACAAAGCCGGTTGCACCGATTTGAAAGGAGGATGATTTGAAGATGCATTCGAGGCGGATCTCATTTGCATTCAACCGGGGATTGGTAGCAGAGCCAATTTTGATGTTCCGACGATTTTGGGTTTGGTGGGGGCTCTAGAATGGGCGCCGGAAAGATATGAAAAAATAAAAGAAAGGAACTCCCCCAATGGTTGGGGGAGGAGGAAGTTTCCGGTTAGTGGGGTTATAGATCAATTTGATCGAATTATTTAATTCCCATTACAAGTGGGAAAAAAATTTTCGTGTATGTTACTTCTGACGCGGTTAAATCTGAACAAAATGTTAGAATACATATCTCTAAAACTTTGCAGAGAACACAAATTGCAGAGGTGATTTTCTAATAAAAGAAAATGCACACATTTTTATATTCATTTTGCTTATATTTATAAAATACACAAAACTACACACTGTTTGGTCATTGATTAAACAATGGAAAAATCTTCTATGAAACAGACTTTATGACAAAACTTCTACAACTTGCATACCTTCTTCCAAGCTAAGGCATTGAAACAAGCAAAGTTTTTTTTTTTTTTTTTTTTTTGAGAAAGGAACACAACAAAACAAGAAATGGTAAATTTGAAAATTCTTAAATTCCAACAAAATCTCATCCTGGAGATCATCAGAAGGCTGCAGGTCGATTAATCTCATGCTTTATAGCACACCGAAACATGGCCATCTCATCTTGAAGGCCTTCGAATCCGCTACAGGAAATGTTTTCGAGATTTATTTATCAAGCATACAGGAACATCCTTAGGCTTCATCCAACATGCAAGGTGAGAGTTAAATGAAAAATGCACACCCCACTAATAATAGTAAGTACCTTCAAATTGATCGAGTAGTCGATCATAATATATACTCAGAGCCTTCCATCGACAACATTGACATTAAATATCCAATTTGGTTAATCTCTCAAATAATGCCATTGCTCATTATTCCCCTAAATTTAAGAGAGTTCACATGGTTGATAACTTCAACCATCTAAACAATCGAATTGCGTTGCCGAATATGTAATTGCTGAAATAATGAAGATGCAAATGTCTTTGTCTCACGTTAAGGATTGTACTATCCTATTGACTCACGTATTAGTCTCGTGTCTCATATATTACTCCTCTCACTGTCAGTTAATTTTAAAATATAATCACACGTGACCTTTTGCCTTCTAGAGTTAAAATAAGCATAGAATGGAGGCTAAGCTCGGATTCACACATTAGACTCTTGAAGAGAATTGCGATTGGTAAGACCATAAAAAATAATAATGATAATAAAAAATAAAAATAAAAAAACGAAGTAGCTCAAGGGACAAGGGGCGGGCACTCCTAAAAGAGAATTCCTTCCGATAAGACAAAAAGAAATCAAGGAACTCAAGGAGCAGGCACTCCTATTTTTCTTAATCTCAAAATAACTGTTCAATCTCACTTAAAATATGTGTCAATGAAGGAGGAGAACTCTTGCAAACTAACAAGCGCATTATCCTCGTGTGCCCTTTTGCATATGAGAGATCGGAGAACTGGAGAACCAAATATAAACTTGTGAAGAGACCATTCTGAATCAAATTCCACGAATCCTACACACTCCTTAGCTGTGTACCAACATATTACCGGCAACTTTTTTTTAAAAAAAAATTATTTGGTGATATGCTTCAAATTAATTAGCGAGCTTATTGTCATGGTTATTCAATTAGTATTGTCAAGGGAAAGTATAATTGAAACAGTTGTCGTTTTCGATATAAGGTCAAATATTGACCAAAAAAAGTCCATTACATATTAAGTTATTTTTGTTTTTTCTTTTTTGGGTATGTATAGTGAAAGAAACAAAACTTAAAATCATCATGTCATTAGAGCTTTGCAAAAAGACTCATCCGATTCGAATTCGGATTAATTGGAGGCATGATTCGGAGGATAGTACTTGACCACAATTTTTAGCTCTATGGATATCCGGAAAACTTATCAAAAAAATTAAATTTTTGTTGTGCAATAACGGAGGTAATTGGCTTGAACTCTAAGTTATTACAACATGTTGATATTGTACCTCATTTTCCATCCAGATTTTTTTTTTTTTTTTTGTTAACATCTTCCATCCAGATTTTAAGGTTAAGGAACTTCCCACACTATTTCCCAGCTAGCTTTAAAGCCGTCTGGCCAATTCCCTAAGCAGAAACTTCTGAATTTTGCCGGTGGACGTCTTCGGAAGCTCTTCCTTAAACATCACCGTTCGCGGCACCATGTATAGCGGCAATCTCGCCTTGCAAAACTCCCTGACATCTTTCTCCGACGGCTTTACCTCCGCCTCTGCCTTCAAGCTCACGAAAGCACAGGGCGTTTCCCCCCAAAACTTATCCGGCCTGGCCACCACAGCCGCCTCATTCACCGCCGGATGAGTGTACAACACCGATTCCACCTCCACGCTGCTCAAATTCTCCCCGCCACAAATAATCACGTCCTTAGACCTATCCCTAACCTCCAAGTATCCATCCGGGTGCATCACGCCCACGTCACCCGTATAAAACCACCCATTCTTCATGCAGCTCGCCGTAGCTTCTGGATCTTTCAGATAACTAAGCATTATACTACCACCTCTTAAAACAATCTCACCCATTGTTTTACCGTCGTGTTTTACACTCGCTCCGGTCTCGATATCCAAAACGTCAACTTGAGTAAACGCCGCCGTCCTCACGCCTTGTCTCGCCTTGAGCTTTGCTCGTTCCATAGCCGGCAACGAGTTCCATTCTGGTTTCCAGGCGCACGTGACCACCAGCCCAGCCGTCTCCGTCAAACCATACCCGTGGCTTACTATAAAACCCATCTCTTCAGCCCGGCTGAGTACCGGGGCAGGCGGGGGAGACCCGGCGGTCAAAATATGGACCGGATGTTCCAGTTTTCCTCTTTGGGCAGGGAAATTTGATAACATGTTTAGCACCGCCGGGGCACCGCACATGTGTGTGACTCCGTGTTTGTCGATGGCCTCAAAGACCGACGGCGCGTCGACTCGGCGTAGACACACGTTGACCGCGCCGACAGCGGCGGTTGACCAAGTGTAGCTCCAACCGTTGGAGTGGAACATCGGGAGCGTCCATAAGTAGGTTGATTGTTTCGGCAACTGCCAGTCCATCAATCCGTCCATGGATTGAATGAAACGGGCCCGATGGCTGTGAAGCACGCCTTTGGGTGAAGAAGTCGTGCCGGAGGTGTAATTCAGCGTCATCGGTTGCCACTCGTCCTCCGGCGGGACCCAGTCAAAGTCTAAATCCCCGAGTTTGACCATGTCTTCGTATGTATTATCATGGAAAGTAACTTGGAACTCGTTGCTGTTGTTGTTGCGATCGAATCCGGGTTCGGAGATTAGGATTATGATTGGTTTTTTGGAATGTGGAGGGAATTGAGAAATGGCATCAAGAATCACGTTGGTTGACTGATGGTCAACGAAAACGAGCTTTGACTCGCAGTGCTGGAGTAGGACGGATATGTTGCGGGCATCAAGGCGAAGATTAATGGTGTTGAGAATCGCATTAGTCATTGGGACTGCAAAATGGAGCTCGTACATGGCTGGAATATTCGGGGCGACGACCGAAACGACGTCGCCCTTCTTGATCCGTAATGATGAAATCGCAGAAGCGAGTTTCAGGCACCTGGTGTATGTTTCTGACCATGTTTGTGTCGTTTCATTGTAAATGATTGAAGGGCATTCCCCGTAAACCACGGCGGCTCTTTCGAGAAATCCCACAGGAGTTAAAGGGCAAGAGTTTGGAGACAATTTGTGGTGGTGATCAAGATGAAGATGATGGTCATATTGTTGTTGCTTCGGAGGTGGTGGTTGTGGTGGTGGAGTGGAAAGTGAGTATATTGTTGAATACAATGAGGAGCGCTTATGTACAACATGTGGTGGGAAGAAAGGCCTCCCGGCACCGCCGGCCGGGAGAGCTTTTGTTAAGGCATGGCGGTGGAATGATAATAAAGGAGTGGTGGTGCAAATGTTATAAGAGGGAGTATGGATCGGAAGAGGCCATGAATTTGACGCCATCGGCTTTACTAGCTAGCTATCACCTTACCTGATTGATCCCTTTGGATTACTTGAGAAGGAAATTCCGGGATAAATCCCGTGACATAGTCCATACTATCGATTCTTTTTGTTATAAAATGAGTATCAAATTTAATATGCTACTCTCTCCCTCTTTTAAACATAATCCAAATTGAGTTTTAAAATTTGTACTATTTTTAGTATGAATTTGAAAAGTCAATGTGTAATTTTTTTATTTTTTATTTTGGACAGATAGTTAGTACAATTATTAACAGGACTCTGCGAACGGTTAGAACGGAATGGAAAAAATAAAGCTGAAATTTATTTATCCACAGGCCGGTTTGCACTAATATTGTTTAATGTAATGCATATTGACATTGAATAACATTCTAATAGTCTCTATAGTGAGTGATGAAGTACGTATGTTAAAGTCAAGCTTATTATATGTAGCGATTAGGTAAGTTAGGGTGTCTTATTGCCGATCGAATTAGGCCTATATTAGTAACAACGTACGTATAACGTGCTGATTAAATTCATGTCTACATCAACAAGCTCTATCTGGTGACAACTGACAGACTGTCCGCAATGAAACTATTCCAAGTTGGGATTTCCATAATTATCCATGGGCTTGGAAGTTTGAAATTGATGAAGATCGAGAGCTAGTTGGAATATTAAATACGGTTTCACCAATTAATGTTAAATATTACCTTTGAAAATTTAGCTTAATCAGCTACTAACGTTTACATTGTCAGATAGGGACCATTAAAAATATGGATGTAGCAAGTTGTTTTCCAGCTAGACAATTGCCACCGAAGAAGGATATGATTCTTGTTCACAGAAACAAACTTAGACATGATAACAAAGACTTAATCAGAAAGGCGAATGGGCAAATCACCATGATTAATAAACTAAATAAAAAACAAATCATTCTAATCATATCTCCAAATCATAGCCCCAGTTTCAGGTTAACACTTCTAACCTGAATTTCTCAAACGTCTATAACTACTGCTCCTAACTTTTGCAGGCGCTACGGCGAAATTAATTTTGGGTTTTTTTTTTTTCTGAATAAGAAGTAAATATATACAATGCAATGCAATCTTTATTATTCTTTTTTTAAAAAAAAAAAGAAAAAAGAAAAGAAGAGCCGTTTTTATAGCTAAAAAAGCCGTACACACTAAACAATGTAAAATCTTCACATGCAATTTGTAAACAACCTTTAATTTATACTTGCTCAGGTATGATTTCATATCGATTCAAATTTCGTTTGATCTAGTATGCCTTTAGTTTTATTTCCAGAATTCTGACGAAGGTTTCTAGTCCTTATTGAGTATTCATTACCTTCAACGAGACTTTTTTGTGTTATTATACCATCGAGTAAAATGAAGGGCTTGTTTTGAATATTATTTCATGCTATTGGATCAAAAAAATCAATAATCAGAACTAATTAGAGAAAAATTAATGAGGGGCCCTATCTTCAGTTTGACAGGCCATATTTGTTGTCATAAAAACTTAAAAGAGAAACAAAAACCAAAAATTAACTGAAAAAAGTTGATATATCTCAACCTAAATCTGGAATTATTATGAACCCTCTTTACCCTCTTAGGCACTCTTTAAGACCGGCTGGCGGATACGGATGTATAACCTCCAACTTAAGGCCGTAATGGTTTTTTTTTTTTTGCCTCGTAATATGGGTCATTCCAAATTTCCAATGTCCTCAAATTCCTACTTAAATTTATAAAGCTACTCGAAATGTAGTGCATGCGATTTGATTCCAGGAACAATTCACTAGCACAGAACAACTTGGGTAATGAGATGATTGCATGGTGGGTTACCCAAAATTGACGATGCCGGCCATTGCCAATGCTAAAAGGCTCTTCAGCAGACCGACGTAATTTCAATTTCTTGAACAACAGAGAAACCCATGACTCACAACCTGATGGACAAATTACAAATGATCAATGGGTGCGAGGAATTAGGATATCCATCAGGCAGTAAATATGTATATCCCACTACCTTCAAGGCTTCAATCATAAAGCTTGCAAAGTGGTTTTGACTTTTTGAGTAATTTGGCATTTGAACCTAAGCCCAAACCACGATATGGATTCTTTTTAAAAATACATTTCTTTCGAAAACCCAAGATGGATGAATGTACTCGTGCATTTATCAAGCACTAGTATGTCTTGGTACAAAGAATGAAATAAGAGCCTTAATCATAAAATCAATATTCACTTCTGTCCTAATTATAAAGTACAAATTTAGACCTGCACCATACTATTTTAAATTTGTGTTATAATTATGATAAAGAAGAGTACATTATGTGAATAAGAAATTCGACTTAAATTATTTTTTAACGATGATTTCAAGTATGTGATGTCCCTAGTCCAAATCCTGGGGATACAAGGCTACACCAATGGAAATTTATGTTTGTGTAAGTTTGTACAAAAAAAATTTTCAACATACTACAGAAATCATGCATGCCAAAGCGGCCGGAACTACAAAAGAAATGATTACATTCTTGATTAATTAAATGACGAATTTCTAATAATATTGCAACCATGAGAGTTCCGGGCAATGCTGGAATATTTATATCAGGAAAACTATTGCATCTATTGAGTACACTTCACAGTCATTACAACTGGAGTTGGATCTCAGGTTTAGCTCTTTTTTTTCAATTCATTCCTCGTACCTGAATTCTCGATCTTCACTAATTCGAATTATATTATTCTCTTTGAAATCGTTAATTAATTTATTTATTATTCATATAGCTAGACTCTTAAACAAACCGTAACGTGGTTCTAATTACTGGACAACAATAACAACACCTAGTGTAAGAAAACTTTAAAAAAGAAATGAAAAGAAAAGGCTAGAGCCACTTAGCCATGTCCCTAAGCAGAAACTTTTGAATCTTACCGGTGGACGTCTTAGGAAGCTCTTCCTTAAACACCACCGTTCTCGGCACCATATAAAGCGGCAACCTCGCCTTGCAAAACTCCCTGACATCTTTTTCCGACGGCTTGACCTCCGCCTCCGCCTTCAAGCTCACGAAAGCACAAGGCGTCTCCCCCCAAAACTTATCCGGCCTGGCCACCACAGCCGCCTCATTCACCGCCGGATGAGTGTACAACACCGATTCCACCTCCACGCTGCTCAAGTTCTCCCCGCCACAAATAATCACGTCCTTAGACCTATCCCTAACCTCCAAATATCCATCCGGGTGCATCACGCCCACGTCACCCGTATAAAACCACCCATTCTTCATGCATCTCGCCGTAGCTTCTGGATCTTTCAGGTAACTCAGCATCACCGCCCCGCCCTTTAAAACAATCTCACCCATCGTCGAACCGTCGCGTTCCACACTCTTTCCGGTTTCCGGGCATAACACGTCAGCTCCGGCGGATCCCGCCGTCCTAACTCCTTGTCTCGCCTTGAGCTTTGCCCGTCCCAACGCCGGCAACGAGTTCCATTCTTCTTTCCACGCACACGTCACCATCAGCCCGGCAGTCTCCGTTAAACCATAACCGTGGCTTACGACAAATCCCATTGCTTCCGTCCGGGCCAGCACTGCGGCCGGCGGAGGAGCTCCAGCCGTCAGCACGTGAACCGGACGTTCCAGCTTCTCATGGCTACGCGCCGGGAAGTTCGACAGCATGTTCAACACCGCCGGGGCGCCGCACATGTGCGTCACCTTGTGTTTGCCGATGGCCTCAAACACCGAAGGCGCGTCCACCCTACGCAGGCAAACGTTGGTTGCCCCAACTGCCGCGGTGCCCCACGTGTAACTCCACCCGTTTGCGTGGAACATGGGTAGGGTCCACAAGTAGGTTGAGTTCTTAGGCAAAGGCCAATCCAGCAGCGCGTCAACCGTATGGACGAAGAGAGCGCGGTGGCTGTGCAGCACGCCTTTAGGTGAAGAAGTCGTGCCGGAGGTGTAGTTCAACGTCATCGGTTCCCACTCGTCTTCCGGCTGGAGCCACACGAAATCTTGACTCCCTTTCTCTATCATTTCCTCATATGTTTCCCGATGGAAACAAGCACCATTGGGATTATTATTGTTATTATGAATGTGATGATGAGACTCGGTTACGAGGACTAAAATGGGTTTTTGGGAGTCTGGAGGGAACTGAGAGATGGCGTCAAGGATGACGCTCGTTGACTGGTGGTCAACGAAGACGAGCTTTGACTCGCAGTGCTGGAGCAGGATGGAGATGGTTCGAGCATCCAGCCGGAGGTTAACGGTGTTGAGAATGGCGTTAGTCATTGGGACTGCAAAATGGAGCTCGTACATGGCTGGAATATTCGGGGCGACGACCGAAACGACGTCGCCTTTCTTGATCCCTAATGATGATATAGCAGAAGCGAGCTTCAGGCACCTGGTGTATGTTTCCGACCATTTATATGTCGTTTCGTTGTAAACAATGGATGAGCAGTCGCCGTAAACCACGGCGGCTCTTTCGAGAAAGCCCACCGGAGTTAGAGGGCATGAGTTCGGAGCAGCTGCGGCTTTTTTATGTTCAGGAGGAGGAGTTGTGTTTGGTAATAATTTGTGGGTGTGATTAATATTCGTTTTTGCTTCTTCTTTTTGCCGAGGTGGGGTGGAAACGCAGGAAATGGCTGGGTATGAAGAGCGGTTCTTACGTGCGACACGTGGCAACGGAGGCGTCCTCCCGCCGCCGGCGGCCGGGAGGGTTTTTGGGGTGGAATGGGTATTAAACAGTAAGAAGAAAGAAGTGGTGGTGGAAGAAGGGATGTTGTTGTTAGCTGAGGGAGTATTGAGGAGAGACCATGCATTGGATGCCATGATCTATAATGCATGCATCCACCTCTTCTTTTTGTTCATTTCTTGAGGTAACAATGGGGGTATAAGTAGTATCAACTTTCAAGTCTTCGGGAAGTTTAATGTGAGTCGTTCGTTGCGAGTGTTCGACTGAAATTAATGCTGTTCTTTCCATTTTCTGTTTTCTTTTTTTTTTTTAAAAAAAAAGTTTTTATTATTCCATCCATCTTGAAATCTTTATTCAGTTCGAGTACAGTATTTTTGAAACATGAAGAGTGTATTATTACGTACTTGGTGTATCATATGACTGTTTTTGGATAATTCTAATTCAAATTGAATACGTCTAGCTAAGTGATGTCCATTATTTTCCATAATACTATAAATAAGATAGAGAAAAAAATTTTAAAAAATATCTATAACACTTCTTTAAGATGGATCACAAATAAAAACACGAAAAAATACACATCGAGTTATTATATTTCATTTAATAGTATTATAACACATCAGAGTTTGCAACAATTAGATTCACTTGATACCTAGGACATGGAGAATCGAATGTAGCCCAATGGTATAGTGGTAGGAATCTTTCGCAAGTGGTCGCGAGTTCGATTCTCGCCGGGAAGGGTATGGTATTCAGGATGGATTTGTGGGGAGGAGCATAATGGGTAGATTAGGTAGTTAAAAAAATAATAATAATAAAGAAAAACCTAGGACATGCAAGTGGATAAGATTTTCCCCCCTGTTGTAAATAAACATTTTTAGTCAATAAATAAATAAACATTTAATTTCACTACATCTACTCCCAACCAGCCGCCAGAACCTTAGTTTAAAGTTTTATGTTTGGAACAGTAAGTAGGATTTTTATCGATCAGCAGTTTTCAAAAGAGAAACTGTTATATTTATTAGTAACTAAAGTTACGCGCATGCTTTCAAAAAATCGTAATGTTTTTAGTTGTACGTTTTTGTAAATTTGATACGTTTTTATCTATCCAATTTTGACTTCGTTACAATAATTTTTTTTTTTTTGTGTAGGAATGAACTAGGTATTAGACCCGTCCGATGAATGGGGAAGGCATAGACATTTAGACATTTTTATATAAATTTTGTATTTTTATAAAATATGTAATGATTTCAGTTTTAAACATGATTACCTCTGGGTTTACAGGAATTTATTTTTTTTAAATGACTTTTTAAATTCACTGGTGACAAGGTTTATGCAGATCTCTCTAAAATTTGCTAGGATTTGTTACTCTCTCCAATCAATCTCTGTGTTAGGATTTGGTTCATAAAAATAAGAGTTCGGTTTTTATTATTTTAATTTTTTTAAAATTATTTTAGTTACTTTTTTTTGTTTTATTTTGTTTTGTGCATTTTTAATTCTAAGAAATTAAGAAAATGCCACATAGGATTAAATCCTATGTGACATGTGCTCCATGTCTTTAGTTTTCTCTCTCTGATTTTTGTCTTAGTATAGTATATAGAAGATGAGATGACCTATATAGCGAGATTGTTCATTACGTCAAATTAAACATTCCGAATTTTCAAAAAAAAAAAAATCATTCCGAACTTTCAAATTTTAATTCTGGCGAAAGATAAATAAAAATGAATGTTAGTATATACAAATTGAACAGGCCGAAGTGTAATTTTAAGGAAAGGTAAATTAAACTGATTACACCCATTTCCATGAAGATTAATGGAATTTTTTTTTCCTCATATTCAATTTTCGTTTTGATACCACATTAATGAAACAATCATGTAACGGATGAATCAATGGAACAGATCGGTTCAATTTCGGTAACTTGTCTTAATGCAACTACCGTTTGTTTTTCTTCCTTAAACGATCCAATTAAGGTCTCAATCAAGTTTTGTACACACTCTTATTTAACACCAATCATTCATGATTTAATGAGGAAAATTAATTGCCATTAAAAATTTTGCGATTGAAAATGCATAAGTGACATAAGACTATCGTGATTTTATGACCCATACCAACCTCCGTTCATAACACAAAAAGTGACATAAAATATCAAAAACCTTAACTGTCAATAAAAAAAAATCATCATGAGGGACTATGATAAAAAAAATGTGATATACTTATCGTTGAAAAAATCTACAACACAACCGCCACCTACAACTATAATAAATTGTGGGAATGGGGAAACGAGTTGCATTAACATAGAAAGCAAAGGAATTAATTGCGTGGGAGAAGGAAGAGCAGCTGTTCAAGGATCAAATTGGCAAGATTTGCCCTGTGGAGAAGGGCTGTTTCGATAAGTCTCCCCCAACAGTACTGGATATAAAGTTATAAACTCACAGAAAATCGTACTATAGCATTAAATGACGGAGGGGGGGAGGGGAGGAATAGAAGTAGTAGTACGTAAAACCATTAAATTTTACAAGGCATTCAATTGAACTACTACTAGTTTTTTTTTTTTTTTTTTTTTGGGTAGTGGCAACCCATGCATTCTGGGAATGACTTACAGAAATACGGAAACATATTGTACGTTGAAGTGTAAATTGATCATGAATATTGTTGATGAATCCAGACATAAACTCACCATCCATTGAAGTGATGCTTCTACCTTGGGGCCTTGCCATGAACCCTTAAAGGTCGATTCTAAAGTCTTCAAAAGGAGAAAATGTTCGTCCCGAGAGGCTGTGACAGTATGATGTATAGCATGATTTCATAAATGCTCGTTTCACCCAACTCTACTATATACTATTATTAATAGCACAAAGAATATAAGATTTTTTTTTTTTTTTGGGGGTGGACGGTAGAATATTATATACATTTTGTTCATACTAAAGTTGTGGTACTTACGGAGTTAGTCTAATATATGTTTAAGAATTCAACATATCTATCAGTTTTAGTCAATAAAACGAATTGCAAAAAGTTGAATTCCCAACGAACTTGACCTCCTCTTCCTCTAGAATTGTGGAGTGGGTTGAATCTTAAATCATTAATTATGATTATCCAAACAGATAATCTTTTGAGACCTCAACATATAGCTAGTTATAGCGGGACATGTTATATATATATATATATATATATATATATGTGTATGTGTGTGTGTGTGTGTGTGTGATATATTGCTATGGTTAAGGGTTTTATTACATCTTGATAGGGTTTTATTAAGATACGAGATATCTTGATTACTTTATGCACCCATTGACTAAACTGGGTAAATTATGTATTTATAGTGAATCAACATCAAACTCTTCAAAGTCTCATGCATGGAATTGATATCTTACCTTTAATGTTTGTATGAAGTTTCATGTAGTACTACCTAGCTAGGTAGCCTAGGCAGTAGGCACTAAGGAAGGAGTTGTTATCCCTTCAATCAATTTTGAGTTCAGACATAATCAACTATTGAACCTTTTTTTTGAATTTTTTCCTTAAATATATTTCCTTATATATAATTAGATAAAAACAAACTTTTCAAAAATTTTGTGGACAAACTTATATGTCCCGAATTTAGGAAATCTGAATGGGGGAGAAACTCGGATTTCGGAAATCCGAACCTCTATAAACTCGAATTATAAAAATCCGACTCTGTGTTACGTAAATCCGATGTTAAGCTAATGACAGAAATTAGTGTAATTAATCTAAATCCGGATTTTCTAAATCCGTATTTACGAATAAAATATTAATTTTCGGATAGAAAAAAAATATGTGTTGAAAAATTAAATTTGAGAAAACTCGGATCACGGTAATCCGAATGTATGTAGATTCGGATTTTGGTAATCCGAATCTCCTCTATTTTCTGAAAAATGCTAACTCTCAATTGGCTTCATACTCGGATTTACGAAATCCGAATCCTTTACAAAAAGTCTGAGTTCGGATTTCGCAAATCCTAGTCTATGTCAGAACTGAAAAAAAAAATTAGACTAGTTTTAACCAGTTCTAAACCTGTTTACAGCACCAACAACAATGAAACATTGGAAAACAGAAATTTAATGGCAACAAAACAATAAACGGCAATCGATTAACAACAAAACAAATCAAGTTTCATACCAAAATCAATACAAAAACTACTTCAAATGTGCAAAATACATCAAATGTCTCATTTTTTTCCTTTTCCTTTATTGTGCGCACCCGGAGTGTATTTATTTGGGTCCTGCCAGATCCTGTCTCCCCTCTTAAGATACGTGAGTATTAAACTCTGTTGTGATTGCGACTGTCCACCAAACTGAGCATCGGGTTGGGGTTGGGATTGGGATTGGGACTCCCCCATGGTGAGAAATTTGACTCCCGGTTGTCGTTGCGATTGTCCACCAAACTGAGTCTTGGGACCACCAAGGTCAAACTGAGTCTCGGGTCCACCAAGGTCAAACTGAGTCTCGGGTCCACCAACGTCTTCAAAATGAGTCTCGACCTGGATGCGCGAGTCTCGAGAAGAATGTGCTTGATCCTCATTTTGTTGACCCTCAGTTTGTTGTTGCGATGTCCGAGGGGGGATTGGGACCTTCCTCTTTCTTCCTCTTCCAATCTTATCTCTCGACCACGGTTTCATTTTTTTACCCGGCGGAGGTTGTGAGGGCAAAGATGGTTCTTCATCAACCAGGAGTGTGTGCGTACAAGGCATCCGATACTCTTGCCACTTCCTGCACGAACACCTATGTTCATCGTAGTTCACCGTATGCAAAGACCCACCCCTGCCACTTAGCCATGTTGCAGTAACAACACGCCACATAGCATCATCACCATCAAAAGGAGTGGCTTCAAAACTGGCTGCTTTGTCGTTCATTTTCTCGTATTTTTTCCATAACTCAGGAGGGATCGGTGTCATGCAATTTCTCACAGACAATTGTTCTTCTCTATAGAATTTAACAGTTTTGCGAAAGGTTGCATCGATCAAGGCTCTAATCGGTAAAAAACGGATCCCTTTCAACTCATTGTTGTAACTCTCAGAAATGTTGGTTGTCGCTATGCCGCAAAGGCAAAGACCGACTTTCAATCGAGCCCAGTTACTCCCTCCAATCCCTCGAAGATACTGCCATGCAGCAGCTTTGAATTCAATAAGCTCTGCCCTCATACGGTTGTATTTCACTCTTGAAAGCGTCGTGCCCATCTTCTAACATAACCGCTTCACCTTTTTGCTATTATATCGTAATATAAGATTGCTGCGAACGTGACGGATGCAAAGAAAGTGGCCACCATCACCTAAATCACGCCATTCATCCATTTGTGACATTGCGCTCAACAACCCTGCATTCCGGT